GCACGGATTGCTTTCACTTTTTAATATTGAAGAAATTTTACATGATTCATTTTGTAACCACGCTCTCCGACGAGCTCTCTCTCAATTCTATCACTTTTCTATCACTATAATAACTAGAGGAACTGGGCATCTGCATAAAAGAATTATATAAATTCCACTTTAGAATTCTTTTGAAAAATTTTAATGATCATTTAGAATAGAAACGAGTCACTGCATCCAAATTCATACACAAAATACAAATATTATAATTAAAGGACTACGAACTTACCGTCTGTATTTAAAGAATAACATTAATATATTAACATATATTACATTAAATTTTATGTATTATATTTTGTGAAATTATAGCTTGTGCTGTGTCTCAGAAAACTGCACTATTATCTTGGTAATATATTATCACAGTGAGTGTAAAGTCGTATGTATACGATAATTTTGCTATCAAAGATAATCGTATGGCACATACGCTAAAATTACTCATAATATCTTTCTAACTACAAGGATTATAATATTTTACCAGAGGATGAGTGGGTAACTTTAGAACAACCTTGCATCTAAAACTCAATTTCGTAAAAATGACAAACATATGAGAGACAAAATATATATATATATTTTATACTCTCGCAACCTGTTGCTACAGAGTATAATAGTTTTGTTCACCTAACGTTTGTTGTATCACCTAAAACTAATCGAGTTAGATATAGGGTTATATATATATATGATCAGGATGAAGAACAGGTTGAAATCCGGTGATTGTCTTTCTCCTCTCCTCCGGCTGTCCGTCTTCCGTCCGTCCGTGCAAGCTCTAACTTGAGTAAAAATTGAGATATCTTTATGAAACTTGGTAGACATGTTTCATGGTACCGTGAGACGGTTGTATTGCAGATGAGCGTAATCGGACCACTCCGCCCACAAACCGCCATTAATCAAAACAAATAACTTGCCATAACTAACAAATAAGATACAAGACTGTTATTTGGTACACAGGATCACATTAGGGAGGCATCTACGTTAAAATTTTTAAAAAGTGGGCGTTCCTCTAGGGTTAATACATATCTCCTAAACGCTAATGCTATTAACAAAATTCGCACGAGGAATATTTTAGCACTTCTATTGACGGTGTGAAAATAGAGTTGAAATCGTAACAACTCCACTCCCCATATAACGGTACTTTAAAAACTACTAAAAGCCGATAAATCACACTAAACAAGAGTCATTAAATTTTATCTCTGGGATGGTATGAGATAGACTTAGGAACCGCTTCAAAATTAGACAGTGGGCTGGCACAGCCCTTTTAGTGATTATCTTGAGATCTGCTTAACCGATTTCAACCAAATTCGGTGCGTAACTTCTTTTCTTGTTTCTATGTCATAGTGCGAAAATGGGCGAAATCGGATTACAACCACTATTTTCCATATGACACCATTTTAAATACCGATTCTTTCACTTTCCTACTACAAATCAAGCACAATGCTTATATCGCGTAAAACTTTGCTGAATAATACGTTTAAATACCACCTTGGACCAAAATTTTCTAATCGAACCAAAACTGTTCAAGCCCTAAGTACTAAATATTGGACCAGTCTATATTGACCTTCTACCGAAAATATCATTCAATCCACAAAGAATCTCAAACAGAATACCATTTGACTTTGCGAGTATAAATTTCGTTACATCCGAACTTAGCCCTTCCTTACTTGTTTTAAATAATTTTTACTTACGACTGGTAAAGATAATTTATGTCTATATCATCCGGTTCCATTTAATGTCTTGTGATGTTTATCTTCAAACTTCAGCTTGTTACTTGCTTGTAGATGGGCGTTTGTTACCTGAATATAAAATTCGTGAAATGCCTGTACCGATCCCCAACATTCTTTGCATACGATCTGATTTGATAATGTTGACATCGTGAAGATCTATATAGCAATAAAATTTAGTAAAATCGCATTTAATCTAAATTAAATTTACTCTTCATTGAAATGTTGTTCAATTATATTCCGCACATTTACTGATTCGAGTTATCCTATTGATATTTATTCTTTATCAGTTATAACTCTTCTAAACAAGAACAACACTGACCAAAATCCATTCTATAAATTTAATTTACTAATAAGTTTATAAAATAGTAACAATGTTTTAACCATAGATAAAATATCCGAACTCTTTGATTTGAGAGAGCGCTGTCAAAGTCCACATTTTTATATTTGACAGTGGTGCCATTAAGGAAGAAATAAGTTTTGAGATTTTTAAATGTATTTCTTGGGTATTTTTAGGTTTCCATTTTAGAAAAATATGCATAATTAAAATTAGTTTAACAAGCTAGATATCCTATATGACTTCTAAATATAAGTACATGTATAGAATAGATATTGATTGAGGTATCACCGCGACCTATGTCTCTATTGTGCCTCCCTAATCACAGCGACTCATCTAGCTTTATGATGAACTCAATATACTGCTAGGCAAATGAGGCGATGCGATCGTTTGGAAACATGGATCCAGGCCTTGACTCTACGTCCAGACACTGTGCAGTCCATTAGTAGGTGTTCTGTTTCCATCCATGTCGCAGAACGCAGTTTGCAGAGGAGACCCATTTAAATAAATGCTTTGTTAAGCCTGCAATGTCCGGTGTAGAACCCGACCAGAAGTACATTATACTTTAATCACAAAAGATTTTCAAAATTAACGATAAAAATAAATGTAACAAAATTTTAATATTTCAAAACACACAGTTTTAAATAACCTAAACATGATCCTTATTTCTTTTATATACTCAATTAAAAATATATTTTGATAATTTATTTGGAAGTCAAAGTTTACATAACATTTGCTAAATTCTAACCAAAATAAGTATATACGTTGGCAATTGGTACTGCTAAAAATAATACTCCGACAAAATACCACTCTTTCTTAAAAAACTATATTAAATCTCTTTAAATAAAGATTACAAATATACGTAAAATCAACAAAAATCAGTCTCACAAATTACCCACTGATTTCGCAATTAATTTCCGGATTCTTAGTGGTAGTTCATTGTTTTGCTTGTCATCTGTTCAGTAGCTCATGAACTAGTGGTTTTCTTGCAGCACTGAAAGTTTATGAGCTCTTTCAGAAAAAGAGAGAGTTTCGGTCATATTATCATGTTTTAAGCGATCGATATATGCATCGATAAAATGAAATCATCAATTTTAAGCTTTCGATAAATTGAATGTATTTGTATCTATTCTCTTAGTATTTGCTGTTATTCAAATTATAAAGTTAAAAATGTAATCAATACTTGTAGGATATCATTTCCATATATTTTGATATTGTATTTATTTGAAAAATTTATCGTAATATTGTGAGTTATTTATCGAAACATCGATGCATTGCATAGATTATCGTATTAAAGGTCAATTTCATTTACAAGTATTATAATTGACGACGTGGTTTATATATTTTCGATGATTGTATAAATTTAAATTGTGCAATAGATAATTTTGCGTTAAAAATGTTTATTGGTTATTATTTATTTAAATCGATAAAATACCCACATTGAAAACATTTTATCTTCCTTATTTCTTAAATCATTGACTGATTTCAATAGTTTTATTGTATATAATTTGATATTTTAATATATGCTTACATAAAATACATTCATTTAATGATGATGAGCTTCTCCATTTATTTTTCATTCGCATCGACTTCGACAGTTTCAGGTCTTCTTTGACGTCTAGGACGTCCCCTACGTCGTCTTGGTTCAACTTTTATGTCGTTATTATGTATGATTTCTTCTTTTATTTCTAAGATATCATTTTCCAAAGTCACGCTTTTCAATGTGTTCGCCGCTTCCTTGTGCACTTGTTTGACATGTTCATAAAATTTATGAAATGTTTCTACTAAATTCCAACATTTTCGACAAATGAATTTTATTTCAATTTGTGACATCATATCCAACTGAATAAAATAATTAAAAATGTCATAAATAAAAAAAGGTAAATTCACATAAATTCCGCACCTCCTGCTTGAAATGCAGTTCAATCACTTCTCGACCATTCAACGCGGTACCTTCTTTACAGTCCAAATCTATTTGATCCTTTGAACTTTCTAAGCATAGTAAGCAACATGCCTCATTAAACATTTTAATGTCTTCCTACAATGTATATTGAAATAAAACAATAAACTACAGAACAATTTGTTTACAACACGCCAGTGATCCCACCTGTTTAACAATTAATACTAATATTATGAATGTTAAACAGGGTGCTGCAATCTTATCGTTAACTCAAGTAGTAAGATCGAAAATATATCGATATGTTCTTATTGGAAAGAATTAGAATACAAACAGAGAATGTAAATGAATATGAAAAAATGAATTCATTTACATTCTCTGATTCCGATCTTATTTCGTGGAGATGCCTCGTCAAATAAAAAAGTTTTCCATGCTGGCACTTTACTCCGATCGTTCAGTTAATATGGCAGCTATATGTTATAGTCATCCGTCTGTATTTTTTTTTGGAGATTGCACTATTGCCTTAAATAATAATTCATGCCAAATTTCGTGAAGATACCTCCTAAACTGAAAGAGTTTTCCATACAAGCACTTACTTCCGATCGTTCAGTTTGTTTGACAGCTTTATGCTATAGTCATGCGATCTATACAATTTCTTCGGATATTACATTGTTGCCTTAGAAAATAACTCATGCCAAATTTCGTAAAGATAGTACATCAAAAAAAAAGTTTCCCATACAAAGACTTGCTTCCGATTGTTCAGTTTGTATGGCAGCTAAATGCCATAATGGTCCGATATCGGCCGTTCTGACAAATGAGCAGCTTCTTAGTGAGAAAGGACAAGTGCAAAATTTCAGATCGAAAGCTTAAAAACTGAGGGACTAGTTTGCATATATACAGACGGACAGACGTTTTCTTCTTGGTGTTACAAACTTCGTGGCAAATTTAATATACCCTGTTCAGGGTATAAAAAATATACCTTGCTGTGGCTAATAAATTTTTTGTTAGGTTCTATTAAATCCGAACTGATGTTCTTTTACATATTTTTTATTTGTTCTGCACTTCAATAGCATTCTAAATTTTTCAAAAGCCAAAATACAAATTAATGGTTCTTAATCAAACCACTAATAAAAAATAATTTTTGAATATCTTGACGCTTTCGCATTTTCTACATCAACCCACTAAATCATTTTTCCGCCGGATTTGCTAAAGTTGTTTTATTAGTCGGTTGCGATAGCCTGCTTTAAAGGTACCGCTAAGCTTTTCTTCAACGCACATTGTTCTGCCCACTCCTTAGTGTGTTTCTTCTTTCGATGAGAATACATATTTGCATTCGATTTAAAAGTTTGTGGACAAAAACTACAGGTATATAAAGCTTCTCCGGTATGCGTGGCCATATGCTCCTGCAATTATAAATGGAAAATTATTAAATTATAATGGAACACAAATAAGTAGATATGTATGTATGAACACAAACTAATAACTCACTTTGAAATCGGTAAGACGTTTAAAAGCCTTGTCGCACAATTTACATACATATTTCCTTTGCAAGGAATGCATATATTTTACATGCTTTTGGTGAGCTTGCAGAGACGGTGACACTTTGCAACACATTGGACAGACTTGTGGTGTCTGATACTCTTCGGTATGCATCGTTTTCATATGACGTGATAAGCCATATTTCGTTGTGAGCGCAGCATCACATAGATCACATTTTATTAATTTTCGCAACATCCCAGTATGCACAGCCTGATGACGTTTGAGAGCGTCGCATCCTTTTATTGATATACCACAAATATCACATATTTTTGCATAAACTTTCAAATGAGTTAAACGCATGTGTTTTCTTAATTCAATGTCGTATGGGAAACTGAAAGAAACATACTTTTAAAATATGCATCTAAGTATACATATAAGCACTTACGTTTTACCACATTCTAAGCATGTTATCGATTTTTGATCTCCTGTATCCTTAATATTATAATGCTGTTTCAAAGAAGATGCATGCTTATACTGAAGATGAAGATCGAGGCTACGTCGCTCCGTCATTCGCTTTCCGCAATGTTTACATTTGAAGTAGTCAGGATCTTCATGAAAGTGAATATGATCAATTAATAAACCCCGTTCAGTTAATTTTTTACCACAACATAGCACATAACCACGCATTTGATGTACTCCACGGAAATGACTCTTTAAATGTTTGAAGTTTTCTAATGATGCTTGACAAATGCAACAAGTAAATTGAAAATGTTTCTTTGCGATATATTCATCTGATTCCGCAGTTTTTTTAATAACGCCTTTTATTTTAATTTTTTTACGACACGGTCTTTTCGAATGTTTATATTCATTTTTACTCCCTATTTCTTCCGAGTCCGAACTATAGGCTGATATAGAATTATCCATACATTCTTCAAGTGAAGTCTCATCTTTAACCTCTAATGCTTCAGAAAAAATCTCAGGACGATTAATTATATTTTCGAGACTAATTGAGGCGGGTAGTATTAATTCTTCAATTTTAACTTGACATTCCTTAAGTGGTATAGAAGGCTCACAAAAAACTTCGACAGTTTCAGGTCTTCTTTGACGTCTAGGACGTCCCCTACGTCGTCTTGGTTCAACTTTTATGTCGTTATTATGTATGATTTCTTCTTTTATTTCTAAGATATCATTTTCCAAAGTCACGCTTTTCAATGTGTTCGCCGCTTCCTTGTGCACTTGTTTGACATGTTCATAAAATTTATGAAATGTTTCTACTAAATTCCAACATTTTCGACAAATGAATTTTATTTCAATTTGAGACATCATATCCAACTGAATAAAATAATTAAAAATGTCATAAATAAAAAGGGTAAATTCATGTAAATTACGCACCTCCTGCTTAAAATGCAATTCAATCACTTCTCGACCATTCATACCTTCTTTGCAGTCCAAATCTATTTGATCCTTTGAACTTTCTAAGCATAGTAAACAACATGTCTCATTAAACATTTTAATGACTTCCTTCAATGTATATTGAAATAAAACAATAAACTTCTACAGAACAATTTGTTTACAACACGCCAGTGATCCCACTTGTTTAACAATAAATATAAATTGTGACGAACACGGATGATAGAACAAAATCGAATCGACGATAAATTGCCAGAAGCAACTAGACAGCGAATTCGTAGTTGCCAGAATGTTCTAGTAGTAAAGTAGTTAGCGAATTCGTAGTGGCCAGAATGTTCTAGAAGCAATGTTTTGTTACAGATTTACTATATAAGGGCTGCCGGATTGTGCAGCAAACACAGTTCTAGTTAGTGTTGTCGTGATAAGAGCAATTAAGCTATAAGCAAGAAGTTGTAAGCTCGAATAACGAGCAATAAGTGTTAAGTTGTTGGAATAAGAAATAAAGATAAGTGTGTAGCCATTAAATTGGGACTTTTATTTATCAATCCAGTGATCGAACTCAAGAGTGAGTTACAGGTAGACGATTTATCGAGAAATCCGTTACAATATTATCAAATTTAAACAGGGTGTTGCAACCTTATCGATAACTCAAGTAGTGAGAATGAAAACACATCGATAGTGTTATATTGGAATGAATTTGAATAATTGGGTTGGGTATACATCCTCTAGTTACAAAGCCTTTCGCTGTGAGCAAATCAAACATTTTTTTAATTTCAGCCTACTATACTATTTTGAGTTTAATGAAAGGAATATCAGTTTGACATACCAAATAAGACTTTATCAATAACTAATAAAAAAGAAAACTTTTGGGTAGATCTTGGACAGCTCATTGTTTGCAAATTTTTTTTTTTTTTTTTACAAATTTCAAATATTTATTTTGGAAAACAGCCAAGAGTAGTTTGTTTTTGCTTTTTGTATAAAATTGTATTCTATTCTATTTGCTCCATGGTCTTAAGTTTATTTCTGTTAACTCATAATATTTAAATACATATGTACGTATATATATTTTTATAATATTTTTTAAATTAAATAACATCGCCTGGAACCTTTTTCAGCAACATGGCGCTTATTTTATATTAATTTTTTGTTACCCCTTTCCCATTTTGTAATTAAGTTTTTATGGTCATATTAAGAAAAAGTTATTCTCCTGTCGATATCAACTAGTTTTGAGCCTGCTGCACCATTCTTGTTGAAATAATTTGCTTTGCACATTTTTCAGTCCACTCCTTTGGATGTTTTTGCTTACGATGTGTATACATATTCGATCTGGAGTTGAAAGTTTTAGGGCAGAATGTGCAAGTATACAATATTTCTCCGGTGTGTGTGGTCATATGTTCCTAAACAATAATTTATATATAAATATTTTAACATTGGATTATTTCACAGTAAATTGGAATGCTATTATTTACCTTTAAAGAATAAGCCAATTTAAATGCTTTGTCACAAACATTGCAAACGTGACTTTCCCCGCTATGCTCATATTTCATATGTCTTTTATGCGCCCGTAGCGTGGGAGATACTTTAGAGCAAACTGGACAGGTCTGCGGTGTTTGATACTTTTCGGTGTGCATCAATTTCATATGTCTCGCCAGATTATACTTCGACTTTACCTCCACATTGCATATTTTACATTTCTCCAATGGTTGTTGCACACCAGCATGCTCTTCCTGATGCCGTTGAAAGTTTTCGTTGCCGTTCAGTGATTTGCCACAAATATCACAAATTTTGGCATATAAATTGAGATGGCTCAGATTTAGATGTTGTTTCATAGTGTACTGATTGCAGAATCTAAATTCATAAATGTCTACATTTTTTTTTCTAATTTTATAACTTTATTTTTAACTTACGTTTTCTCACACTGAGTGCACTTCACATTTCTCTTTTCTTCGGGTGCGTGTATAAAGTAATGCCGTGCAAGAACTTTGGGTCGGTAAAAACCTTTGGAACATATTTTACATCTGTATATAGTACGATCTTTGGAATGAGAATACTGTAAATGTGATGCGAGACTGCTTCGATCGCATACTACTTTTCCACAAAGTTGACACTTGAAGTATTCGGAATTATTATGAACGTGAATATGGTCAACGAGAACGCCTCGACTGTACAACTTTTTACCACAACACTTAGCATAGCCATTGGTTTGATGCTCTTGGCGATAATGAGTTTTTAATTCTCGAAAAGTTTTCAAAGATGTCTCACATAAAGAGCAGGCCAATTTAAAATTTTGTGCAATGAATTCATCATGATCCGATGTTTTATATCCTTTTTTATTGTAGGGCCTGGTGGCTCTTTTTGTTTCTGTTTTCCGTCTTTTCTCTTCCTCATCATCTTCTTGACTTTTAGAGTTTACAGAAGCTGAGCTTATTAGCCTACTGTTTTCACCATCCGAGCAATCGGAATCCTTTTCTTCACCCTATCAATGAAGAATGATAATTATTGATAAATAGATTGTAAACATGAATTTTCGCACTACTTGTTTAAATAAATATACATCGTCCCATTTTTCGAAATTATCGTATGTTGCAAAAAAATTAAGTTTTACATTGGCACGTACAATAACAGAATGAATAACAATGCGAATAAAAAGTTTATTTGAACTTATAAAAGGATTTTAGTTTTATATAGCATTTTTTTATTTCATAAAATTAATTAGTAATAATGTTTAATTTATGAATAATTTTTCATTGGATTCGTATATAATTTATATACTCCACATGATACAATTTTTTGATGCAAAGATTTGTTAGGTCATTAAGCTTTTTTGTTGAATTGCATAAAAAGTTTTTATATAATAATTTAGCACTACAATTTTATGGTTTGAATGTTAGAATTATACAAAAATAAATATTAGAAAAAGTGAAGAAAGTTTTTTTTTTCAAATGTAGCAATTCGAAGCTTAATTAATAAAATATTTTTTTTTTTTGGTAATTGACAACTTTGCAAATTTCTCTCAATTTTGAAAATCTTTATGATTCATTTTTACACAGCAGTATCCGTATGGATGGGGCGGGAATTGCGTATAATTGTGGGCCATTCACTTGGCTTTTGGCTCTACAATAATGGGCTGGAGTTACCGGCACCATTTCGATATTAGAATTAGAATAAGAATAGTATGAAGTTTGCACCGCGACCTAGGGTCTATTGTGCCCTCTATCTCCATCACATGTATTCCCAAAGTCCCAGCAATCTGACAAACTCCAGAAACCTGCTGGGTGCTATTGAGGTAATGTGATCCCTGTCCACATAAATGGAACCGAGGGTCCTGCGTCTACAAATTGCTTTGCAATCTAGAATCAGGTGTTCTGGTTCGGCTACATGTCGTAGAACCGGCAGTTTTCTCAAGAAGTTATGCCCATGTTGGACAAATGCTTCTTGAGTCTGCAGTGCCCAGTGTAGAGCGCGACAACAAGCCGGAATTTGTCTCTGGGGAGGTTTATCATAGCTTTGAACCTGGCTTGGTTGTACTCTTCCAGTAACTGCTTAGCATGACGCATACTTGTTGCTTGCCGCCAGTGACTTTCTCTGCCCACTCTCTCCTCCGTGCGGAGCAGCTTCTTTATTGTGTGGGACCCCACCGCGATGCATGGTTCTGGCCCCATCATCTTAGAAGCAGCAGCAGAGCGGGCGAGTTCGTCGGCCAACTCGTTGCCGGATACCACTTTGTGGAATCACTCCAGTCCGCCTTACTACCGAGAGTAACTTTAAACTTTTATTTCTATATATGATTGAAGTAGTAAAGTTTCTTAGCATCCGTTTTATTCTGAGGTATTTTTTTTTGATTATCCGAACTTCGCTGTTTAAGCGTATATCTAATCGTCATTTGTGAAATGTTCAAAGTTTCCATAATACATTTTTTACACACTGCAAAAGTAATTCTTTCGTTTACTAAGCTATATTCAAAAGATCTATTACGTCTTTTTATGTGTTTTGCGGGAGCCCTTCTACGACTTATTGGTTTCGGTTTAATGCCATACAATACCCATACTTTTATCCTTATTGCAGATAATCCCCAGTAGTGATCATTAATACGCTCAAGAGCAGGTTTAGAAAAGCGATTGCAATCTCTACCATAAACGAAGTTAAGGCACGGATTGGCTTTCACTTTTTTTTTTTAATATTGAAGAAATTTTACATGAATTCATTTTTTTGTAACCACGCTCTCCGACACAGCTCTCGTCCTCAATTCTATCACTTTTGCTATCACTATAAGTAACTAGAGGAACTGGGGCATCTGCATAAAAGAATGTATATAAATTCCACTTTAGAATTCTTTTGAAAAAATTTTAATGATCATTTAGAATAGAAACAGGTCACTGCATCCAAATTCATACACAAAATACAAATAGTATAATTAAAGGACTACGAACTTACCGTCTGTATTTAAAGCCAATAACATTAATATATTAACATATATTACATTAAATTTTATGTATTATATTTTGTGAAATTGTAAGCTTGTGCTGTGTCTCAGAAAAACTGCACTATTATCTTGGTAATATATTATCACAGTGAGTGTAAAGTCGTAATTGTATACGATAATTTTGCTATCAAAGATAATCGGTATGGCACATACGCTAAAATGTAACTCGTAATATCTTTCTAACTACAAGGATTATAATATTTTACCAGAGGATGAGTGGGTAACTTTAGAACAACCTTGCATCTAAAACTCAATTTCGTAAAAATGACAAACATATACGGGAACAAAATATGTATATATATTTTTATACTCTCGCAACCTGTTGCTACAGAGTATAATAGTTTTGTTCACCTAACGGTTGTTTGTATCACCTAAAACTAATCGAGTTAGATATAGGGTTATATATATATATATGATCAGGATGAAGAGACGAGTTGAAATCCGGGTGACTGTCTTTCCGTCCGTCCGTCTGTCCGTCCGGCTGTCCGTCTGTCCGTCCGTCCGTGCAAGCTCTAACTTGAGTAAAAA